CGCCAACCCTCTCACTGAAACCACTTGCTCAGCTCCGGCACAGTCTGGTACATGGCTGGTCGTGCTTGTAGGGCCCGGCAGGCCTTGCAGAACTGAACCCCCCAGGATTTATATTCCACCGGCTTCAGCCACGCTCGCCACCGGAAGTAGCTCTGATAGCGCTCTTCATCCACGTCCAGCTCAAGTAAGAACGTGGCCAGCTCCCGCACTGTGGCAAAGTCGTCAGTGTGGATGAACGAGTGTGGGGGCAAGCAGCGCTCGTAGTTCCTTCGTGGTGGCCCGAGGACAACTGGCACCGCTCCGGAGAGGAAGGCGTTCCTCCAGACCTTCTCAGTGATGTAGTCCTCGTGCTGCGAGTTCTCAAAAGCCAAGTAGAATTTGTACTGCGACAGGGTGGAGAGAAGCTTGTTTGGAGGGAGCGGCCAGTGTCTGCGCCCATAAACGTCCACCTGGAGGTACTTCTTCAGCTCCTCGTAGTATCTCACCCGCACCTGGACCGAGTCCGACTTCCAGTTGCTGACTGCCCAAGCCACCAGCTTGGACTTGGGGGGGATGATGACCTCCTGGGGTTGAGCATAGACTTCCAGCCACCCGTATGGGGCAAAGATATCAGAGTCTCTTCGGTAAGACATGGTGAGGTTGAACAGGTTGTCCATGAAGGCTGGGACAGGATGTTTGCTGGGAGGCTCAGGACTGTACCAGATCCAGCGTTGGAAAGGTGGCCTTGGATCTTGTGGGAGCTTTTCAGCATCCAGATACACATCATGATGGTGCACAAGGATTGCGTCTGCCCTCTGGTACCACCCGCGGTCAACTGTGAAATGACAGTTGGAGACACCGAGGACCTCCATGCAGTTTTCAAAGGGGACATGGATTCCATAGGGCCAGGTCCACAGCAAGATGGTGAGATTTAAGGGTTTCTCCTCCTCTTTCAGAGGCTTTGAGAAGCTTTGGATGTAGGTGAAGAGTATTAGACCAATCCCAACCTGCAGAAGGACGAAGATGAGAAACTTCCAACAGACTGTGGGGTGTGCCCATCTTTGGGATTTCATGGAGCAGCCTGGGAAGGGAAAAGAGAGGAGGCAGCATAAAGCCCCCAGAACTGTTAGTGTCCAGAAGTTTAAAAAATGGTGAACTCCCAAAAAGAATGGTGAAGAACAAAGCCATATGACCTGGAGAATGAAAAAAGAAAGCAACCATTCATAAACCTCAGGTCTTCTGAGAAACCATTGATGCTCCAGGCCGAAATGGTTCAGAATCATCATCATTTATAGGAGGCGCAAAGTCCTCCAAAACCAAAAAGCAATCTGGACCTTACGTTAAGCAATGAGATTCACCGTTCAGTTTTAAACTATTTCCCTTTGGAGGGGGTCATCCAAAGCTTCCAAAAGGGGAGATCTGTCCAAAGCTCTATGTGCGTGTGTGCGCGTGAACTCAGGGCCGCTGCAACCCGGGTTCCAGGAGGCAGATGGAACCTGCATCGGGACCAGGGTCCACGTGCCTGCTATGGCTGAGGTCTGGCACATCCTGCTTAGGGTGACTAGGAGTCATGCCCCTCATTTCCCTGGTACAACCAATACTATTATGCAACTGGAAAATATTGCCCAAGAATAATCAAATGGAAGGAGTCAAGTTACCTTGGAGATCACCTAGTTCAACTCACTGCCCAGAGCAGGATCCACCACCACTGGAAGAAGAGTGGGGCAGGTGGGTCCACTGTGGAACGGCTTTTCCTGCTGGGAAATGTTTCCTGACGTCTGACCAAAACCTGCTTCCTTGTTATTTAACCCCCGGTTTTTGTCCCATCTTCTGGAACAGTTCTGAACAATTCTGCCCCATCTTCCACATGACCACCTTTCTGATACTTGAAGACAGCCATTATGTACTCGCTTCTCCAGGCTACACGTACCATTCCTTGTAACACTTTCCTTCCAGGCCCCTTATCGCCTTGGTTGTTCTCCTCTGAACATCCTACCGTTTGCCAACGTCCTTCCTAGGATGCTGTGCCCAGAACTAGACACAATATTCTCATGGAAGAGACTCTCTGGAGCTCAGGGCTGGACCGCGGAGTCCTCGGTGCTCTCTGAGCCGGGTGGTTTGCTCGCAGGCGCTTCATGACCCGACTAGGCGGCATCGTCAGGGCTGGTGAGTGTAGGGTTTGCTCCCTGTTTATATACAGTGGCTTGCCCTGCCCGTGTTGGTGGGGTGTGGTTTTCTCCTTGGTGGTTTCTTGGTTGGGGTATTGTTTTCTGCTTGTCTGGTGTCAATCCCTGGATGTTGGCTGCTGGAAAGGAGGTGTCCTGGCCTTTTGGTTTCCTTCTTAGCTTTTCTATTGCTCGAAAGAATGGTGTGTCAATGTGGTTTATCTCTTTGTGCCTACTGATGACTGACTTGTCCGAATGCCAAACTTCCAGGAACCCCTAGCGTTTTTGGCTTGACCTAGGACCCTGATAACTTTCCAGTTGCAACTGTGGTTTAGCCCAACCACGTGTTGTGTGGTTAAGGACTTTTCATCGTGCCTTCTGACTGCTAGTTGGCATTCATGGATGTGCTCTGCTGGTCTTCTGCCTGCCTGTCCTACACAGTGGCTGCTGCAGCATCTGCATATCAACAGGCAGCAAACCCCACATTCCCACACTGATGAGGTTAACTAGTCGGGTAATGAAGCATCTGCAACCAAACAACCGAGCTCAGGGAGCATCAAGAACGCCACACAATATTCTAGTTGCTGACTAATGATTAATAGAGACAAATGACATCCCTTGATCTTACACCATTGATCCAGCCTAGGATTGCATTTGCTTTTTTTACAGCTGCATCACGCTGTTGGCTCATCTTCAGCCTCTGATTCATCAAACACCCAAATACCATTTCACATGTCAAAATTCATCTTGCTGGTTTCTGCCCGTGGTCCAGCACGTCAAGGTCCTCCTGGATCTGGGTACTGTCCTCAAAGGTGTTTTCTATTCCTTCTCTCTGTGTTACCCCAAACGTGATAACCCTGCACCCTCCTGCAGGTCCTGCACAAGTGTCGGGGGCTAGAGGGCCACCAGCACCTCCTTCCAGCTCGACACAGAGCC